ATGCAGAGCCTTCTACAAAGTGTACTGTGTACTTGGGACTTGATGTGATCTCAGTGTCTTGCTTAAACCAAGAGACAGTCATTGGAAGAGAGCCTGAAATTTTGCAGTCTAGGCGGCACGAGGTGCTAATGATGCTGTCAATATTCTTCAGTGGTTTAGTAAAGAAGGGAGGGACAGTGCGATCTGTTGGGAGCAAAAAAAAATGAAAGAGACCAACACATGAGCAAAACAGGCATGTAGTTCTGCTTCTGGCTCTGTTGGGCTCAGAGCAGAGTAGCAGGGCTCTTTGCAAAGAGTCAGTACCAACCTAGCACAGTGAAGCTGGTAGTACAAGAGCTGATGCCCACATCATTGGATATCTCAAAGGTGTACTCGCCACTGTCCTGCATTTCAGTAGCATAAAACTTGAGCTGGGCAATGTTATTTTTAAAGCTGATCCTATATTTTTTGCTGGCAGGTAGTGGCCTTCCATCTTTGAACCATTTGGTTTTTAGCTCTGGAGTGCCTGTGACGGTGTACTCCAAAATGGCTGGTTCCCCTGCTGTTACCTGGATCATTTCAGATTTTTCAATGATTTTGGCAGGTTCTACAACAGAATGAAACAACTAGTGTTAGGGACAAAAGGAAATCGCTCTTCTTCTCAGGTGGAAGACAATGCGGGGATCACAGCACTACTTCACTGACCTTTCACTGCTAGTTCACCAAAGCAGGACTGACTTCCTGCATCATTCTCAGCCACGCAGGTGTATTTGCCACCAGAGCTCAGCTGGACACCGGTAATTTGCAGTGTTGCTAGACCATGTTCAAATGTCACTCTCACTTTGTTATCATCTTGAATAATGTCTTTGCCCTTCATCCACGTCACAGAAATAGGCTGTGACCCTTTCACCACAGCCTGTAATGTAACACTATCTCCAGCCAGAGCTGTCACATTTTCGATTTTCTTAACAAAAGATGGTGGTTCTAGTTCAAAGAAAAGAGACAAGGAGAAATATTCATCTGCTACCACATCATCCCATCAAACCTGCTGCTTAAAGACAGTTTTACGAGACTGCATGTGCAGTACACGGCGCAATTCAGCTAAAGAGCAGACAAGGAGAAAAGCTGCATTCCCCAGCTAGGAGCTAATGCATGGCCCTTTAAGCTGAATGTCCTTCAAATTCACAGGTTTGACGCCAGATAAGAGTTAAGATACATACAGAATTTTAAGACAAGAAGATACTCTCCCTCCCCACCCTCCCTAGCCGCCCACAAATCCAAAGGCAAGATATTTTAAGAAATGAGAGGTTCTTGCCAGTCCCTTCAGTAAGTAGTTTTCTCTCTCCCACTGACCTTTCAAGATGTATGTTGCACTGCATATGCACTTCCCGACTTCATTAGCTATCACACACTCGTATTCACCGACATCCGCACTATTAAATGAGGACACCTCCAGAGAAATAACAGCTTTCTGAGAGGTCAACCTGTATTTTTTACTACTGCGAATCTGTTTCTTGTCTTTGTACCAGCTAATCTCAAATGGTCCAGTGCCAGCAACCTCACACTGAAGAACGGTGTTTGTTCCCTTCACTACCTCTGCTGGTTCAAGTGTTCGAATGAAAGACGGAGGCTCTATAAAAGCAGCAAGAAAGAATTAGTCAACCATGCCAAAAAAAAAAGGAAAAGAAGGTTTCTCTCAAGAATGTGACTGGCGGTAGCAGCAAGAACAGACCTTTGACAACTACTTCGGTGGTGCAACTGTCACTTCCAACCTCATTTACAGCTTCACATGAGTAGCTCCCACTGTCATCAACTTTCATCTCCAAAATATCTAACACAGCCACAGAATTGACAAAGGACATCCTGTGTGTGTTACTTTCACGGATTTCCTTATTGTTCTTGAACCAAGTAACCTGGATTTCAGGAGACCCTTTGATTTTGCATTGAAGGCGTGCAGAGTCACCTGGGGTCAGTAAATAAGATGGATCGACCTTCTTCACAAAGGATGGTGGTTCTAAAAATGGGAAACAAAGGGGAAGAAAAGGGAAAAGGGGGAAAGGAAAAGAGAAAAAGAAAGCTGAAATATGAAGCTTTGAAAGATTGGTTCTTTAGCGCAAGAACAAAACATGACTTCAGAAAAGATCAGCATAATCTTTGCTGAACTCCAGTTCTTGTGGTTTCCCTTGCCCTCTCCATCCATCTCTCCCTTGCATACAGGAGCAATTCTTGGATCTGGCTGGTGAAAGAAATTTTGAAGCAACAAACAGTGCACCGGAAGGCAGCAGGGGAAACGAGCAAGAGGTGAATGGACTCGATGGCAGGTCTGAGAAGAATTCACTTGTCATTCCAGCCCAAAGAAGTCTTTCCCTGCAAAAGAAGAAATGGGGAACTCAAAAAGAACAGAGGTAAAGGGGGTGTAGGATTATCTTACCTCTGACTGTGACACTGGCAGAAGAGGAGCTGCTTCCTGCCTCATTTGAGGCAGTGCACATATAATGGCCTGAATCCTTGAGCTTAGCCAGAGGGATCTCAAGCGAGGCTATTTTGTCTTCAAAGTAAATCTTATAATCTTTGCCCGGGGGGATTTTGTTTCCATCCTTCGTCCACCCTACTGTTACTTTCCTGTCTTCATCTACCTGACATTCAAGACGTATTTTCTTATTTACTGCTGACTGCACTGACTGCAAAACTTTAATGAAGTGGGGCTTGTCTATAATGACCATTTCAGCCTGGCAAATGTCAGCCCCAAACTTGTTGGAAGCTTTGCAAGTGTAAACCCCTCTGTCAGTGGTGGTGAGAAGGGAAATTTCTAATACATGTTTATTTTCCACTTTGGAGATCTTGTGGCGGTCTGAAGGTGAAATAGTTGTGCCATCTTTCTGCCAGGCGACATCGATGACTGGAGTGCCCGAAACAGTACACAGGAACTTGGCACTTTTGCCCACAAAAGTAGTGATAGATTCAGGTCTGGTAAGAAACGTTGGTGGAAATGCTTCTGCAAAACAAAGAGGTTCAATGTTATCCAGAGGCGAGAAACAGAGCTTATGTTCTTTCTTCACATTTGCCAGGGACAAAGCGCAAGAGGGGTCAGTTTGTCACTGGACACTCTTAAGCAAAAGAAGCCAGCAGTAAAGGAGATAAGAGGTGTTAAAGATGATGAATTTTGGTTTTTGATTTTGTACTTCTTGGGTCTATACATTGCTCCAGAGCTTGAAGGCATTTTGAATCTTTGGAGCAATGTACAAACTAAAGGAAAATAAACCAAAAGCCAGAATTTCCTCCCCCAAGACTGACATATTTCCACACCATTCCCTCAAGATGGAAAAGTTTGCATGCACTTCACAATTTGTGTGTCTGTCTAGTCTCTGGCAGCTGGCACTTAGCAAAGACCACATAAAGACTCCTCCCACAAAGAGAAAAGTCAGAGCAAAACCAATCATAATACACTAAAAGATCAAGAGATGGTGAGCTGTTTTGGTTTTGTTTTTTTTTTAATAGGCAAAAAAAAAAGAAAAAAAAAGAAGATAATTTTATAGCTCTCAATAGACAAAAATGTTCACAAACTGGAAGAGCTTTAAACCCTCTTTTGTTTGTTTAAGAAGTTCTGTTTCGCCAACCACACAGAGTTCCCTTCTGAACATGGCACACATGTTCAGGTATGTGTAGCTGCATAGCCTCCCTGACAAGTATAGCTGCAGGATAAACATAGGGTGCTATGATAATTACACAGTGATTAGTACACCAAAGAAATCAGACTTAAAAGTGCATGTTTTCTTGTTGTCTGGAAGTTAAATAAACCTTCTTCAAGAATGTATTCACGTTCTGTTGACAATCTAGTCCCTCCTGCTCTCTCCCCCTTCTTTCTTCCCTTCTGAAGCTTTTCACACTAATTCCCTTTTCTAGGCACAGAAAGCATCTAACAGCAGCATTCTCAAAAATTATTTCTTCTCTATGCTTGTGCCTGCCAAAATTAGGTATGGATTATGCATAACAATGGCAATCAAGAGCCCTACCATAAACATGTGTAAGTACAGCAGTGAAAGCATTACAATATACCAAGATATTTTATGGAGGAGAAGTACTTGGAAGTCCGTACTTACCAGTGACTGTTAAAAGGGCTGTAGAGCTTACACTGCCATGCTGGTTGGAAGCCTTGCAGCTATACTCTCCATAGTCAACAACCTGAGGCCTCGGGATCTCCAGCGTGGAGACGTAGTTGGAGGTGCGAATGGAGTATTTGTCTCCATCATATATCTCTCGTCCAGCTTTGTACCACTGGAACCTGACATTGGGAGCAGTCTCTACCTCACAGGTAAACTTGGCTACGTGATTTACAGCCACCTCCAGAGATTCGAGCCTCCTCCTCAGGATCGGTGCAACTGAAATCAGAAGCAGAGAGTAACTCAAAGCCTGCCTGCTGACATTCTGGAAAATAATAGTGAAGTGCCTAACTGAAAAAAAACAAACAGGTGATCTACTCGCAATCCACATAAAGTGACTGTAAAGGAAAAAAAATCTGTAAGAAATGAAAGCAGTACCAGGCTCAGTGGACAGACAGTGTTATGGTACATAATGACATCAGGAAACACAGTGGTGATTCTGTAAGCCAACACGCAGCAGTGATGCACAACAACAATGTGATACAAACATACACCACACCATCCTGGAGCTGTGACAAATTATGGTGTGAATGAGAAATTGTGCTGAAACTGTGCAATGACTCTAAAGAGTGAGAGAGAGTGCAGCAGTGAGAAAAGTGAGAAGAGCAGGCCCACTTCTTAGGCAACCATGGGAGAAGCATTGGGAATTGAGATGCAGCTTGTCCTGACTGTGCTTGTGTGATGAGAACAGGAAGCACAAAGTTTCTGACCAAAGACTGGGATGCAGGAAGTGAGGGACTTAGAAATGTGGTAAAAGGAGACCATAAATCCAGAGAGAAAGGGGGTCCTCTGATTAGTAGCATGATGGTATTAATATTATGTCTGTATCCAAAGATACAGACACATAGTGGGGCAGTTTCATTAGTAGAACAGTGTATTAGAAAGGCAGTATCTTATGCCCATAATCCAACCTCTTTTAACAACTGTGAGTTTTGCTGCTGTTGCTCTTTTTCCACTTTGATTCAGTGCCTCACAGGTGTACTCTCCTTGGTGAATCTCCGTGCACACTTTGCTTATTACTAGTGTGTACATGTCCTGATCTTGCAAACACTTGAATTTGTCGCCTGAAGACACCAGTTTACCCTCAAAGTACCAGTTCACCTCTCTGACATTTGTTATGGCAGACACCAGACTGACACTCTCCCCTTCCTCCACAACAGTGTCCACCAGTTTGCTGTGTATGATGGGATAACTCTCTTTGCCCAGCTCATCTTCTAGCTTCCCAGCTCTAGTTTCCAGACCCTCTCTGCCCTCTTCCTCACATATTTCTTCCCTTTTCTCCTTCCTTTTCAGTATTTCTGTGGGTGTCTCAATGGGGACACCTGCAGAGGCTACATCAGCAGTGGCTGCAGCTGCACCCACATCCTTGATTTGACCATGCCCCATCACAGTGTCCATTACTTGTGCAGACAAAGGCTGCTCCAGGGGTATTTCTGCCTCTGTAGTCCTCTCAGCCTGCTGGGGCTCCAGCTCAGAGGATTTTCCTGAGAGAAATGGACTGGGATCGACTGGCAATGCTTTGGATTTTTCATCTGTCAAGAGATGTTTTTCTTCACAAATAAGAGAATAGAAAGCCTCCTTCAAGACCATTTTCTGGTCAGCTGTCTGAATGCTGACTTCTCCCAAGGAGACTGGTATTTCTATGGGACTGAGTCCTCCTGTGGTCACAACATAGGTGCATTGAGTATGTTTATGTTCCTCGGTGATGTTTAATGTCCTTACTTCAACATTTTCTTTATCAGCCAACCATTCTGAAAACAAGAGGTTTTGCTCGCTTACCACTGCAGCTTTCAGTGCATTTCTAATTTGAGACTTTATGTCTAAGTTGAAGCTCCTGGGAATCCCAGCAGTGAGCTGGCTCTCTTTGTTGAGGACTTGGCTTGGCAGGAGCTGGTGAGTGTACATTGTTTCATGGGGTTGTCTCTCTGCCCTTGGACACCGCCTAAGTGGGCTGGCAAGATCCACGACATGTTCCTCGTCCAGGGGCTGGTTTTCTTCTAGCAGCAAGGGAAATCTCACAGCCTGTCCCTCATGGATTCTTGCAGCAAAATCAGCCTCTGCTGCTTCCAGGGAAAAAATGTTCTCCAGGGGCACAGCTTGGCCTTCAGTGAAAGCCAGTTCAGAGGGAAATTGGGGTTCAGCCTTCAGCTCACCTTGCATTGCCTGGAAGCCCTCAAGGACCTGGATGTGGTCACCATCTATGGCATGGCTCTCGGTGGTGCTTGACACCTGTAGAAGCGCTGGGGAAGCCTCTGCCTTCAGAACAGCCATTTGCTGTGCTGCCTTGGGGATGACTTGCTCCTTGGGCAAGAGCATCTGTGCAGCTACAGTCCCAAGGCAGCCCAGCAGTCGTGTCTCCATCACTGCTGCAGGCACCACACCCTGGGGGCCAGCAGGGAGGGTTTGCAGTGCCTCTGCCAGAAGCCTGCTGCTCTCTTGTGTTGTGGCCACCTGGGCAAGCATCTCTTCAACACTCTGTGCAGCCAGACAGGCTGGTGGCAGGGCAGGCAAGATGTCCTCCCTGGCCAGTGTGTGCTCTGCCTGGCTCGTCTGGAGCTGAAGGAGGGTCAGGGGCTCCCTCATGACCTCAAGGCTGAGTGCTCCTTCCATGGCAGGAAGCTCACCAGCCTCCTCATAGGAGAGGGGGCTTTGGTCCTCTGCCACTGCAGAGTGTTGCAAGGCTGGGCTCTGCCTGCACGCAGCATGCTCCTCTGGCAGTACAAGGAGCTCAGCAGAGCATGTGGCCTCGCCCAGGGCGCTCACCGCCCTGCACGTGTAGAGCCCAGCGTCCTCCTCCATGCACTTCCACACTGTCAGGGAGCCTGAGCCATCAGGGTGGTTAGCAACAGAACAATGTGCATCAGAGAAGAGCTGCTTATTCCCCTTGAACCACTGCACATCAGGGCATGGCTCCCCAGCCACAGTGTACTCAAAGACTGCAGTGAAGCCCAGCGCACACCGCACGCTGTCTGGCTCCCTGGCAAAGCGAGGGACTCCTTGTACCCGCTGCCGCACGTGGAGGTGGGCACTGCATGTGGTCTCACCGTATGCATTGCTGGCCACGCACGTGTACTCACCCTCATCCTGCACACCCGCATATGGGAGGATGAGGCTGTGGTCATTGCCAGCAAACACTAACTTACAGTCCATCGATGGGGTTAGCTTCATACTGTTGAAAAACCACTGGATTTTGGGTGTGGGGCTGCCAGTAACAGTAACAGAGAGCCTAGCTACATCTCCCTGCCAGACTTCAACATTTGAGGCCTGTTTGAGGAAAACAGGGACTTTGCCCCCGTCCTCCATTTTCATCTTTGCTTTGCTGGAATAAACTGTTTTTTCAGACTCAAATTCAAGTGTTTTCTCTCTATCAGGCAACTGAAGGCCGCTGCTGTAGCCTTCACTTCTTCCTTCCTCAGAAGACACAGTAAAAGAGCTAGCGATGTCTGTATGGAAAAAAATTGTTTCATTTACTAGAATGCTTAAGAGAACACTTGTAGCTAGCAATAAACAGCGTTAGTGCAACTATTTTTGTATAGTTGGAGGCTTTCTCAATACTGTACAGCAGTTAACAATGACCATGAGGTCCTCTTGCTGTCAAATACACACCTGCAAAACCCGCAAGACATGCTGTGCTGTCAGGTTACTTATGAACTTTCTATTTGGATCAACACAGGTGTCTCTTTAAACCTGACATCACAGTATGGCTTAGGCATACCCCCAGGGTGTACTGTGAGAGTAACAGTCAAGCAACATTGTGCATTTCACAAACAGGATTAAAGTGGTATCTGCCATACATATTTGTATGTACACTCTTACAAATAAGTACAGCAGAACATCGCTGAGACTCTGGTTTAATTCAAAACACCAAGAAAATGCAGAATGACAGAATTAGGATTGGAGAAATAACACAAACTTTTCAGTGCACCAACCTTTCTTCTGGTGCAGTTAGTTAATCTCTTTCAACTCTACCTTTTGTCTAACACACTAAGATACTACCTCTCCCTTATCAGCTTTGTCCTGTTTTTGTCATTAGACCCTTATGCTTACAACACCATTATTACTAAAAACGTGAGTTTGCACACTTGATTTAATGTAATTGATATAAATCTCTACTTTTAAATTCCTCCCTACCACAACATTGCATATTAAAACTCCCACAATACCAGGGAAAAAGAGGACAGAGCACTTTAAGCTTTTTCTTTCTCTTGCCTTTGTTAATTTAGACATTTATGTGTTGAACCACTTTGTTCTAGTGGTGGTTTCAAAATGAGAGGAAACAGACATCAAGAACATGTCACTGTCTGCAGACACTTGACATGAGAAGCATCAGTGAAATCTGAGACTTCCAGGAACAGAAAAACCATCCATGAAAAGCACGGCGCAAGGAAAACCTTTGGAAATCAAATCCTATTGTCCTCACTGAGTCAAGTATGCTCAGTTAAAGCCCACAGTATGTGACACTGGAAAGATATGAGAGTTGTTAAAAAAGAATAAAAGAAATGTGAGTGGATAAAAGTCTCCAAGCAACTGTAATGGTGAATCTTGATAAATTTCTCAATTACAGTGCCTTAAATTCCAAAACTTATTGAGAAATAATAATTTTTTGCTGCACTCCAATAACAACTATAAAGAACGAATATGCCATATCCAATTCTTTCTCATTGGTTTTAGCAATTATTAATCTTGCCAGAAATACCATAATATACATGACATAGCACAGTGCATACAGTGATTAACTGCAGAGAGGAGATTCTTAAGTTTAAAAAAAAATTACACCAGTCCTTCAGTATTACCTACCATCCTTGTTAAAACAGTAGGGCAGTTTCCCCAGAAATACAATGTACTAATGAATTTGAGAATGGGTCGCAGAATTGGGCCCATAATAAAGTATAAAAATTGCAGAATGGAACCTATGCTAACGCACATGAGAATGCTTTATACACAGGAGTGTGGCAAAAATTAATGCACTTTTGTGTGTTCCTGGATATTTATGACAGAAAAAACCGATACAGATATTTTTTCATATTTTAGCTATGTCTGTGAAATGAATAAAGTACAAGATGCGACGGACTTAAATCATTTACATATTTATTTCACAAATTAACCATACACGTTAACATTCAATACACATTGATGACAAACGAACATAATTAATCATTTTTTAAAGATAATTGTCTTGTAGAAATTAAGATGACATTAAACCTTACAATGAAATGGTGAGTTTTGTAATTCCTATGAAAGCACAAAATTTTGAAGAGAGATGGTCAATCATAGCTCTAAGCTATACCAGTTGCCCCAAGGTAAGTTTATTCAAGATTAGAATTATTCCAGATTTATATCATTGTAGCTTAGTTGAGACTTTGTCTCTCCATAAGCACGATAGTGCTCCTGGCTAATGTATGAAATTTAAAACAAGACTTTTAAAATTACACAAACCACAAACACTACCACACAGGTAAAGATAAAAACACTTGGCCATGTATTTCAGATATGAACATGAACTTGGATGTGTTTAGCTTATGGCTTCAAAAACAAGTTATGGGCTTGTTTCTACTACAAATTTCCGTCCGTTTACATGCCAATTAAACACATCATAATCGCTTAGGAACTTTCTAAAGGGCCTCTGACGTCTTTGGCTTTGGAACTAAAAGACCCCTCACGTCACAGCTGACGTCTAATATCAAACAATTCATGCCAACTTCCCTAGGGACCTCTGCTGTCTAATGAATCAGTTAGTGCTACACATCTACACAAGGAATGGATTAAGGACACATTATGAAGCAATTCTTTCCCAACACAGCACTGGGTCAGACACTCATGCTGCTCTTTCCTACCACTGTTACCTGTGAGAAATCACAATTATCTCTGCTTTTTAACAACATACAAATCTTAAATATTTATCATGAGGTCATGACTGGGAAGAAATTGAAGTGACACATTGGTATTAGCCTAACCAGTCCAGTCATTTTCCCCATGTACTGGGTCATTAGAACCTGCCACTCCTGACTTTATGCTTGTGTTGGGCAACACAATTGGGCAAAGTGAATCTTTTGATCAAAAGTTACTATCCCAGTTGAGTGATGGGGTAGTCTTAAAAGATTGAGTTTTTGAGGCATGTTGACCTCAGTGTGAGGACATGTCAAGCTCAGAAATAAGAACATGCATGAACATAACTATTTCTATAGTACATTCAGTTATTTTATGCTTAAAATCACCATGCTCCTTAAAGCAGTTTGCAAGGCAACTGACAACAATTTGTAAATAACTGGAAGAACCTCATGAACATGTAATCAAAGTAAAAATAATTTTTGCTTAGGGTTGTTGAACTCAAGGTTTCACCTTGGCATATTGGTAACTGGAATGCTGGCACATGCATTAGAGAGTTATTTAACTTCTGATAAACATTAATTAATAACTTCCATACTTTTAACATATTTTTAAATCAATTTATAATTGTTTATGTAAGATAGATTTAGTTCTGATTTTATTATGTCAGCTACTGCTGATTCCTCCTCCTAAATATTAGCATTATTTTCAATACAAAACTATATACTCACATTGAGAACAGTAACGTAAAAATCTCTTCTGCTGAGAAAATGCCACAGATAACAATTGAATGTATTCTACTTATTTCTGGTCATCTTGACACATAGCACACCTAACTGTTACTAATTTTTAAAAAAAGGAAAAAGGGAATATGTAGAGATTTATTTCTAAAGTGAAACAAGAATACTGAATAAAAATCTCTCACTTTTTTATTACTACATATTTTTATGAATGACATTGTAATACGGGGACAACCAAAATTATTTTAATGAATTTACAGTTACATCATTGATTTATTATGCTCCCTCTCCTTTCCGTTTAACTTCTACAGTACAAAATATGTTTTCATGTTTATTACTTGGTAATAGAGAAAAAAATCCTGCCCAGCCTCTACTAATGCAAAACTTTCATTTTCTTCCCATTGTGTTACTTTTCTTTGCAACAGCATAATTCCATTGACTTAAAAAAAAAGTCATTTAATTCCATGAGTCAGTAGAATAAGGCCCATGGATGTAAGAATTTTGCAGTGATAGAAACTGTAAACACAGGATTTGAATCAGTGAGACTCACATGTTCTGACACAACATTGTGAGAAGGGGGAATACCAATTTAAGGAGCTCTTTCACAGAACTATATCCGAACTAAACAGCAAGCATAACCTCTAGGTTACAAGAAAAAGGTGATTTCTACATTTTCAGGTGATTTCTAGTCTACATAAAACAATAATGACTGCACTGTTACAGACACACAGGTCTATGTACACTATACGAAAAAATTAGTCCTATATAAATGAGTGTCAATTAAAATATCTTTACAAGAAAGAGTAAGGAGCTTGGAGGGAGCCTGAAATATACCTCAGTGTAGAAAGTGTACACAAAACCTATGCACAGATCAAATTTCACTTAAATTCCCCGATTAAGGCAAGTTTAAGTGAGACAGAAATATGCCCACGTAGAGTGGTTTTCATCCTTAAAGAGATGAAAAACAATGCCCCTAAAATGAGTGCTGCATTTTTACCTGCAATGACCAGCATAAAAACATTTAGTGTTTCAAAAGAGACTCTGAAATAAATTATGGAAATTTAGTATAATGTTAACACAGCACAAGTCTCAGCAGTTCCTGCCCTGTTAGTAGCTATACATTTGTACTGCCCACTGTCACTTTGCATCAAGTTTTCAATAGTAAGGCTATGAGAGCCCCCCTCCTCTTCCTGCACACAGTACCTGTCCCCTTCCAACAACACCCCATCCTTGTACCAGCAGACACTTGGGTGGGGGGAACCAGTTACGAGACACTGGAAACATGCCGAGGCACCTACAAACGTACTGTAGTCAGAAATAAGCCTCAGAAATCTGGGAGGGGCTTCTGTGACCTGGAACTCAAAGCTGCAGCTCTCCGAGTCCTCTGCCCTAAACTCAACTCGTTCCTCTTGGGATGGCTCTGCAAACAAACTGATGTTGACACACTTCTCCCCTTCCACTTCCTGCTCTTGTTGAGTCACTGCAAGCAGTCGGATCGCTTTCTCTGGGTCGTCTATGTGCCGCTTGAGCTCAAACTCCAGCTCTGTTTCTGACTGGTCACCCGGGCTCACAGTCTTACTCAAAAGCAAGTCACGCTCCTGAGGCTTGTGTGGTTCATTGCCCATGACTATCTCACTGCTCACCTTAGCACTTGCTCCCTGCTGAGCCATGACTACGAGAGACCCTTTGCACATTGCTTCTCCCAGCCGATTCATCGCTCGACAGTGATACCAGCCACCATCAGAAAGACCTACATTTTGGACCTTCAGACTGTGAAGTCCCTCCTTGTGACTCACAACATACTTCCCTGTGGCAGGTGTCACACAGGTGTCACCTCTGAACCACTGCACTACTGGGACAGGAGTACCTGTTACCACGCACTCAAACACTGCCTCCAAGCCTTCTGTCACCTCAACATCTGCAAAGGGCACGGCAAAGCGGGGAGGCATTTCAGTTACTTGGAAATCAATTTTTACATCCTCATTCTCCTCTGCGGCCAAGCCTGCAGCTTGCTCCAACAAGGCAAGTGGAAGAACATCCAGAGAAACCACCATGCTCTTTTTATCTGGGCTAAACTCAGGACTGGTTACAATTTTGACCTGCTTCTCAAACTCCTTCACCTCACTTTCATCCAGCTCCACTTCCAGGAGGATTTCCTGTGGTGAAGGTGACCTTGAAGATGTATTTTGTTCCAGGTCAAAATGTATAACATGCTGGTGGGTGACAGGAGGTGGCAGTGCTAGTGACCGCCCATCTTCAGACAAGACTTCCACCTGTGCGATACTTTTAGCTTCCCCAACAATGTTTACTGCATGGCACAGATACTGCCCTCCATCAGCTTTCTGGATGTTAGTGATCTCCAGCAGATATTTTTCCCCATCCTTCTCTATCCGCACTCTCTCATCCAGCTCCAACAGAGATTTATTGTGATACCATTTCACCTCAGGCTTGGGCACACCCACCACCTCAGCCACAAAGCTCAGTGTGCTGCCCTTGTACAGCCTCCTCCTGATCAAGGCCTTGAGGAAAGCAGGTGGCATCTCCCTGCCTGATGGCTCCAGGGCTTCACAGGGGGTCCTGAACACCTCAGCCTGTGGCTGGTCTGGAGGCTGCTGCCTTGTCTCACAGAAGGGGAGCATGGTCAGAGCGTCCATGTACTCCCCAGTGGGTGTCTGGTAGTGCTCTGGTGGTGTGCTGTCCCCTGATGCAGAGCAGGGTCCCTCAAAAGGTGTGAAGTAGCGCTCTGAGGGTGTGTTGCTTTTTGAACCCTCAGACGGTGTGGAGTAGCGCTCAGGTGGTGTGCTGTACACTGAGCCCTCAGATGGTGTGGAGTAGCGCTCAGGTGGTGTGCTGTGTCCTGAGCCCTCAGACGGTGTGGAGTAGCGCTCAGGTGGTGTGCTGTGTCCTGGGCCCTCAGACGGTGTGGAGTAGCGCTCAGGTGATGTGCTGTGTCCTGAGCCCTCAGATGGTGTGGAGTAGCGCTCAGGTGGTGTGCTGTGTCCTGAGCTCTCAGACGGTGTGGAGTAGCACTCAGGCGTGCTGAGTGGTGTGTGGTAGGAAGCTGATGAAGCAGTTTCAAAGATCTCCACTGAGGATGGAGGTGTGTAGAAGTGGTCTGAATCAGGTGAATCCTCTCCGCTCCTGCTCTCCAGCTCTATAGACATTTCTGACTCAGGAGAGAAGGGCCGGGCGAGTTCCTGCTGGTTGTTGTAATAGTCATAAACCGTGCTGAAGGTAACTTCCTCCACTTCCAGTGAAGTGATGGTCTCTCGCTGCTCCTTCTGAACAGTCCCTTTGAGATAAGGAGTTTCCTGCATCCCAGTTGACCTTAAATACTTGGCCAGGGACAAGTCAGGCTCCAGCTCTGAGACTTGAATAGCACTGGGCTCTGGACCTGGAGAAATATCCTCCCATAGTTCTTCTCCATCCAGGCTATTCTCAGAGGCTTCCTCAGTGGGAATTCTCTTCTTGCCCTGAGACTCCTTCCTTTGCTCCTTCTGTGCCACAGGATCTTCCATTATTAAACCAAGTAAGAGTTGGTTAAAAGAGAAGCCCTTGGCTGTGTTTGGTTCCTGTTGGGTGTCCCTGAGCATCTCCTCAGGGGAATCTGTGCTTTCTAGCTTACAGGTAGAGCTGCTCATTCCTGTCTCAAAGACCTTTTCTCTCTCAGAAGCTTCCTCCTCAACTTGATGCCCAGCCTGGGGTTTCTTTTCACGTGCAGCTTTTTTCAAGTCGATGATGAAGCTGTCACTCTGGGAGTCTGTGGTCTCCAGTTGTTCCCCACTCTCCCACATGTGTGTTTCCTGGACTCCTCTTTGCAAATCTGCTGTGTACTCCACCAGAAAACTATGAATTTGTCCCTCAGGTGAATCCTCCCCACAGACACTCACCTCTGACTCATTAATTTCTTCAGCAGAAGATCCTTCTTCAGCAGATATCATGATGCTGCCAAGATCCCCATTAGGGATTTGCAAATCAGCCCTTCTGATTTCTCTTGGCTGTGCTTCTTCCTGAGTACTGACCTGCTCCTGCTGCATCCTGTAACTCTGACGCAGCTCCTCACTAAGAGACATCTCTTCCACAAGCACATCATGTTGGTGCACAGGGGAGATGAGCCCAGTCACTCCTGCCTCCACACTCTCTAGAGCTGTGGGGGTTTGTACCTGTTCTGTGTCCACAGCCTCTGCAGCTGGGAAAGGCTCTACAAACTTCTTCAGATCAAATGTGATATTGGTCTCAGTCTCAGATGGCAATAGCTGCTCTTTGAAATGCACTTCTTTTAGGTGAACCTCAACTTCCTCAGTAAGATCTTGACCTGAGTTTTCTATGCCAGGAGGAGTGAGGATTCGATCCAAAGAAGAGTTGCTTGCGTCAGACTCCATTTCTTGCAGCATTTGTCCATCATTGTGCATTTCCCAGTGTGAAGCATCCCCAGCATCAGTCGTTTCTTCTTTACAAAGGTGATCATCGGCCTCAATGTCCTGTTCAATATCAACTGAACCCTCTTGCTTCTTGGTCTGTTCCTTCCGCTGTTCTTCTGTACAGAAGTCATAACAGCCAAACTGCTCCTTTGTGGGTGTGTTTGCAATGTTGTCCTGCAGGTGGGGCACACTTGGCTGTTCTACTAGGGGCACATCAGGAGACATTGCCTCCCAGGCAGAAGCATCACTCTCCTCCATGTAAACATCACTCCCCTCTTGCACCACAGGTGATACAGGAATGAAAAATTGTGAATCCTCACACTCCCTTGTCAGAGCAGATTGCTCAGAGGCATGTGTTTGCCCTGTCACTTCCATAAATGGTGACTTCAAGATGTCCCAGGACAGAGTATCTGTAGGTGGTACCACCTTGTCTCCTTCAGCCTCCAGCTCCTCTGAAAAGTGACCAGAGTCCTTGGCCACCAGTTCATGCTCTTCCCTGGACATGCTGGGGTGCAGCTCAGTGGCATCAATTCCAAAGCTGTGCTCCTCAGAGACAGATTTTTCCCTATGCTGCCTCATCTCAGAAATACTGTCTGTATCCCTCACACTTTCTTCTGTATAATCCATTTCTTGCTTTGCATAAACTTCCATGATATCCAGCACCATCGTTTCCTTCATCTCACTTTCCCTGAAGTTAGGCGTTTTCTCACGCTCTTCTAATTGCTCACCAGGAGACGAAGATGGCTGCAGGGACCAGGGTAGGTGGGCTTCCTCCTCCTTGGAACATGTGATCTGTTCCTCTTCATCCTTCACAAGTGTGCTGAGGCCTTGGAGGTGCAGAACATGGTCCACAGCAGGCAATTCCTCAGTGCCTCCATCTGTGCTATAAAACCTTGGTGGACTGGGCTGCACTGTCAGCTCAGAGGCAGTCTGTGCGGTTCCAGCCACATTCTTGGCCACACAACGATACAGACCAGCATCTGCGACAGAGACCCCTTGGATGTGTAAGCGACACATACCATTCTTGTCTTCCTCAAACCTCAGCCTCTCGCTGGCAGAGAGGCTCTGGCCATTCAGGGACCAGGCCACAGCTGGTGAGGGCTGCCCAGACACAGCACACTCCACCACCACTGCCTCCCCTTCATGGCAATGAATGTGTGCTGGGGCTTCTGCCACAATTTGGGGTGGCTCATTTCCCACATCAAATGAAAACTTGAACTTGTGCTTTATCATGGGAGCAGCCTGGTCTGGAGAGGGCCGTGTGGTCTCCTTCATCTCTGTGTCTTGCTCTGGTGTTGGAGACGGGGCAGTGATTGTGATTTCCACAGGTAGTGACAGCAAGTCTGAGTCTGGAACTGCACTTGGCAGGTCCTGCTCTGCTGTGAAGGCCAGGCCGACTTCTTCCTCCTCCTCCACCTTCTCCTTCTCCTCACCATCCTCCTCCTTCTTTTCTTTCTCACATTCTTCCTCCTTCACTTTCCTCTCTTCTTCCCCCTCCTCCTCTTTCTTCCCTTCCTCTTCCTCCTCCTTTTTCATGACCTCGTAGGCTGGCATCGGCTGCCTCACACGGAGTGCAGCTGAGGTGCTGACTGTGCCCAGCGGGTTGAAAATCACGCAGGTGACAGTGCCACCATGCTGTGGGAGCAGGGATGGGAAGGTCAGTGTCGAGCAGCACTCTGTGGTGTGAACAGCAGTGCCCTGGATACGCCCCACAGGCTTGGCGTTGTTGTACCAAGTGACTGTGGGCTGTGGGCGGCCATGGAAGAGGCAGGAGAAGGTGCATCTGTGCCCCTCAACAGCCTCCTGGGACTTGACCTCCTGGACAAAGAGGGGTGGGCAGGGCTCCAGAAGACCACCTGGCATCTTCCATCTCTCCCCCGTGGCCTTGGGTCTGCAGTGCCCCTTCACTACCTGCACCTTGAGAGGCTCTGAGCCCCCCATCCTGGCAGCCACTTCAGGCAGGCTGGGCTTCCTAGGGGGGCTCCCCTGGGGCATGGACATGAGGGATTCCTGCTTCTTTTTCAGTGCTGCCCTCTTTGCTTCCCGCAGCCGCTGCAGCTTCCAACGGACCTCTTCATCCAGCAACTCCTCAGCATCCACCACTGTGCCACTGTGCCCCCTACCGCATACCAGCCCTGGACGATGAGGTCAGCCTCTGGAAACGGATGGTTCGTACCATGCCCCGGGCTGGGGAGAGGTCCCCAAGCAACTGCTCGGCCTCCTGCCCCTTGTCGAAGGGCGAGCCAGTGCAGCGGAGCACCACCCGCAGCCGGTCCTCCCGCCGCTGCTGCAGTAGGCACTTCCAGCTCTCCCGCATCCACTCTGCTTTCCCTGAGAAACCCAAGCCCTGCTGTTCCCTACTGTGTGCCACCAGCAGCGAGGCGGTGGACTCAGCTGAGCCCTCACTGTTAATGGCAAATATCCTGTAGCTGCCAGCATCATGCTCCCGCACATCCCGCACCTCCAGGCTGGCATGATGCGTATGCTCCTCACTCTCAGTGCGGATCACCTTGCGGCAGTCCTGGTGAACCGGCCGGTTGTTGTGAAACCAGGCCATGTGGGGTGCCGGGCATGCCACCAGCTTGCACTGGAAGAGTGCAGGGTCCCCTTCCAAGACAGACCTACACTTGAGGCCCTGTGTGAAGGTCGGTTTACGGTTCTGGGGGCAAGCCAGCACTGCTGCTGTCCCAGGTGCCTCAAGATTCGCCTTGCTGTGCTGCTCTGCAAGAGAAGGAGACTGGGTTACAATATGCCACGCTCTGCCTGCCATCTGATTGAAAAAAAATGAAATAGCAATATATTGAAATAAAAAATGGGCATGCAACAAATTTCATCACACACCCAGGAAAAAAAAGTAATTCACTCACCATATTTGTTCGAATAAACGCAACGCCTTGCTCTGTTTTAAAGATTGACACGAAAATCGTTCGTTGTCTGTTCTTTCTTCAGACTGTGGAAATTTCTTCTTGAACAAGCAAAAATGAATTTCAAAATAACACGTTCTTCTGCGTGTATGTTTTTGCTGCCTGGAAAAGCTGTGTGTCTTTGGGTAGCAAAGAAGAAAATCTTACCTGACTTGCAGACAGTAGAATAAACGCCCTTTCTGACCCCTCTGTTTGTAGATTAAATGTTCAAACAATTGAGAAAAAATATTTTGAAAGATATTAAAAAAAGTAAGTAATTAGCTAACATGAAATGAGAAGGCGTTTATTCGAACTAATACAGCCACTAACTTTCACAGTGTTATGCACAGGGGAAAAAGCAAGCAACATGAACCACATATGCTATCTGCAAGCCAGGGTAAGAGATGTATAATGATGAATTAATGTATGTAAAAAAAGTGCAAGGAATCAATGGGAATGTGTAGCTTTCATATATCCTAAACAACAAATGCTTTCTAGTATATTTCATCCATCCATCCAATAGTGTCCATTGAACTGATTGTTAGGTTGCTAACTTGTTTAAAAATATGATTAAGATTTGTGTAACTTCCTTCTGAAGTAAACTATTCCATGCATTCAAAAGGAAATTGAACAAATAAAAGCTCTGTGAACAGCTGCAAAGCATGAAGTAAAAGTTAAGAATATGGCTGCAAAATCATAAATTTGAAGTTTTAAACATATTTTAAAACTTAAATAATTTTATAATGCAGGTAACCCTTTGCATATCAAAACAAACATGCAACATATTCCAGTATGCTTTAAAGTGTGTCTGTCTTTCCCCATCAAATGCTACATGTAAGCGGATAAAACCTTTTCACAATATTACTAATTATCGGTACTAATTATTCAGTGTAACATCATTGGTGACTGTACCTTTCACTTCCATTTCAATCTCTTCCTCTAGCTTCTCATGAATAATTTTTTCAGGAGCTAGAATAAAGAGATAAAGATTTTTGAGCTATAGTTGCTAAGCATGCCAATCAACACTTTAAGTAGTAAAAACATCCAGTCTCTCTTGCAAATATACAGAAATTCACACATACATACACATAAATGCATGCTAAACAATTCAAACACTTGATAAATTTTGAGAACAGAATAATCAAATGCTTTCAAACTTGTTTGCAATATACACTTTTCTATGAGGTATGCTTTCTTGTTTGCAGGGTGGGGGAAAGTTTCTAATGTAACATGCCTTTATCATGCCTTAAATCCCTGAAGAAAACATTCAACAATCCACAGACTAATGAGATGCTTCTCGTTCTTTATCATCTCCCAGGGAATGAATGTATGACTGTACTGGAATGCAATGATGCTATGCACAAGGAATTGATACTTGGAAGGAACATGCAGTTGCCAACCTGTCACTCTCAGATGGGTGCTGCACTCGGCTTGTCCTGCAGGATTAACTATTCTGCACTTGTATATACCCTTGTGGTTCTGACCAACTTTCAACAATCTTAAGCTGCACAGTGGCCCGTCATGTTTTAAGGAACACAGTGCAGACTCCTCAACTATTAGCTGATTGCACAGCCAGACTACGCAAGGTGTAGGCACACCTTTCATTATACAAAAGAGTAACACATCATCTCCTTCTTTTACAGTGGTTTCTGAAGGCAGAGTTTCAAGAAACTCTGGTGCTTCGGCATAAGTTTCTGTGATGTCTTCACATGGCACAACATCAGGATAGTAGACTCTGTTTCTTTGTTTCTCAGTTTCATATGGTCTTTGGGATGTAGATATAAACAAGCTCGAGGTTTTCTTGGAAGATTCTTGCTTAATTTCAGATGCTTTAAACTGACAATCTTTGGCTGCTTTAAAGCTTTTAGTATCTGATTCAAGGGTAATTTTTGTTACTGCTTTGGCGTGTGCTTCTTTTGCTAGGTAAGAATAAAGTTAGGAAAAGGATTAGGTCATATGTTTTGCAGGAATAAAAAAATATACTTAGGGAGAAAAAAGCCAGTAATTAGTATTGAAAGAATGCCCAGCGTATTAGTGCTACAACAATGCGATTAAACATGAGTGATTCCACATTTAAGAGCTTGACTAATTCTTGGTACCAATTAAGCCTATGGGACTTTCACAGGACCAAGACTTGATCTGTAGTGCCTAGTACAAGAACACCTTTGCTTTTAACTTAGAGCCTCAATTTAGACAGTAGCATCAGAAGATCATGTAAAGTGCTGTGCACAGCTTAAGAGTGAAGAAGGAAACTTCAATATGTAAGAGCCAAATCAACAGGGTCAACGGTTTCCTCATTATTCATCTTAGTTTTTTGCTGTTGATTGCTTTGAGCGCAGCAAAATTCTATCACCTATCCAGTGTGGAGATAATACATTTTTGGGTCTTCAGTAGGGGTAACACTACTAACATTTTAATACACTGATGTCAGGAAGAAATGGAAGGAGTTTTAGCAAAAATAAATACTTACATCTCAGGGGGAGTGAAGGATAGAAGACAATTAATTAGTGCAGTAACACAATACTTGCACCCATTAATCCTTTCAAGTACATTGGCCTATATTGCCACCCTTGGAATTGGTTGCTTGGGTTTATTGGAAACAAGTTGGACCCATAGAGTTTGAAATGACCAGGTATCTAGTTCAACATTGCTTATCTGATATTCTTATCTTCTTTAAACTCCAGTGTCAGGAATTCGCAAAAAGTAAAAATTCCTACCAGCCTGTTTTGCTTTACATCTCACTGCACATCATGAAGAATATGAGGAATAAAAAGCCTCAGACATCTGTGACTTGCTGGGAAGAGGCATGAAGTTACAATACCAACTTCCCAGTACTGCACATGTCACTTATGAATAGAGCTGTAAATGTGGAGGAAAAACCCCAAAGCATTATTACTAGAGCTTTCTCAGTTAAACACTGATAATAAAGGAAATATAAGTGAGCTGTAGGCAGTGATAATGAAATTGCAAAAGGTAAGTCATAATGTTAAAAGTCAGATAACCACCTTTGACTGTTAGTATTGCAGCAGTTGTTGTCCCTCCATAATCATTATATACAGTACAACTGTACAGTCCTTGATCTGTTAGTTGGGCATTTAGGATTGTGAGCAGTAAGATACTTCCATTTTGTGATATCTTCAATTTTTCAGACACCTCTATCCTTTCACCTTCGTGGGCCCAAAGAAACCCAGAGAAGAAATCATTTTCTAAGGCACATATGAACTGAGCAGTGTCACCACATTTCACGATTAGATCTCTGAGTTGCAAGAGAATCTTTGGAGGGACATCTTTCATTGCCTGAGCAGTGGTCATAGAGATCCTGGTGCTCTGAGATGTTTGGGAAAGGATTGTTGTGTGCATGGTTTCCATTTC